CTCCACATGAACCCGTTCCTGGTTCCCAGTTTTAGTTCTGAACTTTAAAAACGGATTAAAGCTGAACAACAGTTAACATTTAGATCACTACCTTCAGTGCCAGCAGATATACAGCCACTGAGTTCTCCGGGGAAAAGCCCGGCCCGTCCTGACTGAATGCACAGGAACCCTCTCAGGTTCCTCCACTGACCAGAGAAGTGCCCCGGCACGAGTTCAGGAAAGGTGGGGATCAAACTGTGTATTGAACTGAATAGCAGATGGCTGATGGCGTCTGAGGGCCTGATCTGGAAACCTGCTGGGTCAGGACGGGCCCATGAGGACCCCCGTACCGCCCACATCCCCTAAGAGCCCAGCTCAGTGGGCGGAGCCCCGCAGTATGATGCTTACACCGCCTGCTCATCCAGCTCCAGTCCGATCCGCTCAGACATGTTCTTCAGAACGCCGATGGTTCCGGACACCAGCTGGAGCTGCTCGTCCTGCTGCTCCGCGATCAGCTGAGACAAACAAGAGAGTTACCCACCCGCCGCGTCTGCTCTGGGGGGGGGGGGGGGCTCTGTACCTGCTGCTGGACCTGCTGCTCCTCGATAAACTGAGAGTTGGCGTTCTGCAGCTGCCGGTCCAGTCGGCCAAACTTATCCGGACCGGGCTGCCAGATGGGCCCCTGAGCGCCCCGCTCCCCGAGCAGAGCCTGAACACAACACAGAAGGTTCTGCCCAGAGCTCTCCGGAGCACGGAGAGAAGACGCCGTGCGCTGGTGAGCGCGAGTACCTGTCTGTCCCTCCCGTCTGCGCAGGCGGCCGGACTCGACATCTGATCCTTCATGTCCTTCAAAGCAAACCCAGAGCTCAGCGGCCAATCGCTGCGCGGCATTCAGACGCGTCGGCTAATCAAATCTCAAAGTGACTAGGTGGGAGATCCTCACCAATGGCAGAGCAGAATTGCACATGTGCGGTAACCATGACAACTTAAACTACTGGGAGGGCTCACCTTGACCGTGCTCCTGGTTCTGGTGATGAACGCTTTCCTCTTCGACAGCTCGGCGGTGTCCAGGTTGAACTTTTTAGGGTTTGACTCCACGATGCATTCAGGGTTAATTAAGAAATCATTCGAAACATTGCTGAGTACAGGTCACATGACAGTCACCGGTCAGGTCACGTGACCTCAGGACCAAGCCTCAAGGATATTGATGGTCTCGTCCAGGTCCTCCAGGTCCCATTCGATGGAGCGCAGGCTGTTCCTCAGCTCATTTGTTGTCCAGTCTATTTCCTCCTTGGAGGCTCCCACCCCCTCCTGCAGCAACTCCTTCCATCTCTGATGGAGGCTCTGCGCTGCGTTCACTGCCTTCTGCACCTCCCTGAAAGTTTACAGGACTCATTCACACACTCGTCTGAGGGACGTCCAGTGTCGGAGGGCACAGCAGAACCACATAAGACCCAGTCCAGAATCAGATCTGAGGCTCAGATCAGTGAAAGCTGGAGTTTAGAAACACCACAGATCACAATGAATGACCTCTGGTCTCCAGTCGGCCTCCAAAAAGATCTGTCAAACCCTCCTGAACCACCGACCAAAACCCTTCAGACGTCCTCGTCATTGTTTCCTATGAACAGAGGCTCACAGGAAACAACTTTCTAACGAATCCTGGACTCAGTGTTAACGGATAATCTGTCTTTGTCCAGGTGTGTCCGCCTCCGTCCAAACGGCAGCTGGACAGCCTCCGTCCTCTACTGCGGAGAATGGATGATGGAAACTGCAAACGTAGCTGCGTGCTAGCCAACTAAGTCTGTGAAGATCTGTGTTCTTAGAAGCTGGTACATGTCAGATAGCTAGTCAGCCTGCTAAGCGGCTACTTAACCTCATTAAACTGATATCAGACTGGATGACTTCAGGTTGCCAGGCGGTCCGGCCACCGTTGGGGTCCGGCCGCCCGCCGCCGGGTTAGCTCGGAACCACATTTCTTACCCTTTGACGACAAAGAACGGGTCTTCCATGGACATGCTTTCGGTTCAGTCCATTTCTCTGACTGCCGGATCTGGATACACGGTAACCGTAAAGGCTGGTTCTGGGAACTGGAGCAGCTAACCGGGCTTTGTTTACATGTAGCAGCGGAAACTGCCCAGTGACGTCACTCTTTCTTCTTCGACTGTACCTTTAGAAGTGAGTACTTCCGCCACCGTCCGGTGGAGGAAAAAGCTGCACCGAGAATCCATTAACAGTTTATTTACTTTCAGGGGTGCACAGAGACATTTTTGGTCTTGTTCTCAGGCGGGTTGCTTGGTCCTCACATTCTTAGATTCATTTTCCTTAACCCACTTCATAGAGAGAACAAAACAGATGGGTGGATATTGTAATATGTACTTTAATTTCAACTAAAAATGAAGAGAAGCAGCAGAGTGGGGCTTTCACTGCATCTTCACGGTATTGTCAGCCCGATTCTCTAGTTGGAAACCTGAGAATAAACCAGAGTGGATCAAAAGTATAAAAATGACATTTATTGGGTCACAGTTAGGTATATCAGCTTGGCTTTGACAGACGAAACTCTCTCTCTGGGTCTCAGTGGGCAAAGAGCCCTGAGATCTGGGTGATGGGCATTATCTCCTGGGCTCCATCCGCCTCCTCAAAGGAGGACTGGACACAACCAAGTCTTATTGGCCAGTTACCTCTGGGCACGAACAGGCCAGGTCCTAATTCATGCAGATGACAGGAATGTGCTAACAAATGGTGTGTGTTTGTTTGAACCTAAAGGTGGATCTAATGCAACAGAGAGAGAAAAAGAGAGAAAGGAAAAGAAAGAGGAGAGAGTCTGTGTTCACAGCCAGAGACTTCAACACAAAAAGTAAAGTTCTGAAAAGAATAAGACAATCAGTAATTAGCATAGATCATGTTATAACATAGTGTGCTAAAATGAGTAATTTTAGCACACTATGTATAATATGTATGAATGTATAATAGTAACGGTATATTCTGCTTCACGTATCTGTGTGTTGTCATTCGTTTGAAGATTAAACCACTGTAATCACTGGGGCCGGGCTGTTAATTAGAGCTCATTCAGAGGTTGAACCCCAGCATGGTGTCAGGGCTGGGAACAGCTATGAGAGTTTCTCAGAGGCAACATGGACCTGTTTTCCCAAAGCTCGTGGAGCGGTTGGCTGGGTCTGGGGATTGCCTCAATCCCCACCAAACCGATGTGTTGGCAGGGGGCGCTGTCGCCATGTCATAGTTGATTGACGTCACCTCATCCTTCAGTAGAAGAAGAAGAAGACGTATTGCATAAATATATTCAAATTTATACAGATGCGTCAAAAATAAATGGGAAGATAGGAGTAGCTTTTGTGGTGCCAGAATTCGGGGTAAAAATAGGAAAACGGAGCACAGATGGGTTATCAGTATACACAGGAGAAATGTTGGCAATATTGTTAGCATTGCAATGGGTGGAAGAAATAAAACCATTAAAAACAGTGATATGTTCAGATTCAAGCTCAGCATTATTATGTTTAAAAATTTTCAATCAGATAGTAGGATGGATATATTATTAGAAATATTTTATACATTGTATAGAATACAGAATATGGGGCTGGTAGTTATATTTGTATGGATTCCAGCGCATATAGGGGTAGAAGGAAATGAGAGGGCAGATAAAATGGCAAAAAGGGCAATACATAATAATATTAGTTTTAAAGTCAAAACAAGTAAAGCTGAGGGAAAGATAATGAAGAGTTTTTTAGAGAAAAACTGATGGAAAAATGGCAAAAAAGGTGGGATGAAGAAAAAACAGGAAGATGGTTTTATAAAATACAGAAGATAGTAGGAGAGAAAAGAAATGAAAGAAGAAATAGAAAGGAAGGAAGGGTGATAACAAAATTAAGATTAGGGCATACAGGTCTTAATTATACACTGTTTAAATTACAAAAGCATAATAATGGAAAGTGTGATTATTGTGACAGATATGAAACGATAGAACGTGTTATGTTAGAATGCCATAAGTATAAAAGAGAAAGAAGGTGTATGAAAGGAGAGTTTGAATGTATTAAGGAAAAGATCAATTTGATAGATATTTTGAGGAAGAATTCGGGGAGTAAGCATGTCCAGATAATTATGGGATATTTAAAGAAAACTACATTATTTCAAAGAATATGATTAAAATAGGTGTGTGTGTGTGAATGGGTGCATGATCTAGGGGGTCGGATTATAAATACATATATAAAAATGGATGAGAGTATGTAGGTATACATAAATAGGAAATTCATTTAGTTAAATTATATATTAAGGGTAGGAGTAGGAAGATACAAATACCTATATAAGTTGATAGTCCATATCGAATCACACTCCATACCAGCAGATGGCGGTAATGCTGCTTAAAGTTTGTTGCAAACCGCCAATAAAATCAAGAAGAAGAAGAAGACCTATTGCAAGCTGCGGTCTCGCGATACCTCTTTCCTTTGTGTGGAACGGACATTTCAGTGTGCGAGCGCTGAATTTATCGATATTTACTATCACGTGCCTCCCAAACATCAGATTAACATCAAATTTCGGGTCGATAAAGGTTACGCAGTTCAAACTGTGCTGCCCCTGCGTCCTTTCTACAGGTAAGAGATCTGATGGCTACTAGAAGTGTGAATTCCCGCCGTTAGCCCGGGAATGTGCGCGCGGTGCTAGCATATGCTAGCATGCAGCTACTGTTAGCTGCTGGCTGCCGTCGCCTTTAATGCTCCCGGCAGGTGTGAAACAAGGCTGGGGCAGAGCTCAATGATATGAACCGATTAGATTAGGCGAGAATACGAGCACGATTCTGGTCAAAAGTCAGTTTCTACGAGATGTTTCTGAAATTAGGTGAAAAACGTAATTGGTTGAAGAAACAATGGGCCAGTGACAGATGTGAAGACGGTTTAAGGGATTTGGCTAATGATGGGTTATGAAAGTAAAAGCCGAATCTGTGGGACCCTCTAGTTAATGAACGGTCGTCTAGGAGTTAGGCCACTGTGGTTGAGCTCAGGGCGCAGAAGATGCTGGGGGACCGGAAGTGGTTCTCCTGCAGTAAGGCTCCGTCTGATTGGCTGAATCTGATTGAATCTTTCTGCCTTCCAGACGCCGTGAACCGCCGAGTCTTCTCCATGGCCGTCAGACGTGGACATATCCGGTACCTGAAGGTGAGTGGACCCTTGAATCCTGGCGGCCATCTGGCCCGCTGCAGCAGTGTGTTTCCAGGGTGGAGGAGCTCAGGTTGAGGCTGACCTTAGAGATCCAGCTGGTTCCTGAGCGGCTCTGTTTGTGTTTTAGGTGTGTGAGGTTCAGACGCCGCAGAGTGACGTCAGAGACGCTCAGCTGGTGTCCAAAGGAGCCGGGGGAAAGGTGAGTGGAGGCGCGTTGTCCTGCGGCCGCCGCCGCCGTGTGTCCATGGTTACGGCGTGCCGCAGCTGAAGGTGTCTTTCCCGTAGGAGCTGTACGACAACGGCTTTGTGGAGCAGGTGATGGAGGACGACGACGCTCGGACAAACCTCATTGTGAACTACCTGCCGCAGAGCATGAGCCAGGACGAGCTGCGCAGCCTGTTCAGCAGCGTGGGAGACGTGGAGTCAGCCAAGCTGATCCGGGACAAAGTGGCAGGTAACCCCCCCCCCTCGTCTCCGGCTGAGCCTGCGCCGGCCCCCGTGTTGTCCCAGCAGAGCCGAGCCCCTGGAGCCCGGACCAGGTCTGTGGGACCAGGTCTGTGGGACCAGGTCTGTGGGACCAGGTCTGTGGGACCAGGTCTGTGGGACGGGTCGGGCCAGAGGGGCTCGGTTCTGCTGGGTTCGGATGTTTGATGCAGGGAAACCAAAGTTAATTTGTTCTACTGCTGTTTGCTGACTGAAGATTTTGATACACCAACTGTTTTTCAACATTTCCTGTTTTTTTTTTCTTTCTTTTTTTGTTTTTTTTTAGGATGCTAATATTTTTATGTTTTCTGAGCGTCGGATAATTTTCTTTACATTTTTTAAACTCATGTCTTTGTTTTTTTGGGGTGTTTTTGGTTCATTTTTAAAATTTCTGATAACGTTTGTCTCGCTGTTCAAGTTGTTGTAATTGTTTTGTTATTTTCAAACCGGGTTTGATGATGATTGCTTAACAGAAATTTGATGTTTTTTGTTTTCTCACCCTCAAGAGTGAGGCCATTTTTTAAACTTCTGTTAGACTTGAATTGTTTGATGTCACTGACATGATTTAGAAACTTCTCAGGTCTCAGACCACGTCATTTATAGAGTAAAATAGTTTTTTGTTTTGAACTTGTAAAATCTGTTTTTCACCTGTCTCGTTTTATTTTTCAGGCTTTTTCAGTGTTTGTAAAACATTTCTTTAACTTTATGAGGACCCTGAAGTTTTTGTTCTGAGCAAATCCGAGAAAATGTCGAGTGGCGTCTCTGCCCTGGATGTTTCAGTTTCTTCTTCTTCTTCTTCTTCGGCCTTCTTGGCAGAAGAGCGCCGGGTCTCATGACTTTCCACCGCCGTGATCCCTCAGCCCAGCCTCTTAGTTTTCCCGTAAACAGTGTATATTTTATGATGTGTGTAGTAACAAAGTATTTTCTTGGTTTGTTCAGACTGTTGATTTGCTTAGTGAACTCTGTACTCAGTTTGAATTCTGTTTGTTTGTTTTTATCCAGAATGTGTACCGCTATAACAGACAGTTTTGTTATTTTATTTTGTTGTTTTCCTTTGTGTTTCTCTAGGCCACAGTTTAGGTTACGGCTTTGTTAACTTTGTTAACCCTAATGATGCAGAGAGGGCTATCAGTACCCTCAATGGCCTGAGGCTACAGTCTAAAACTATCAAGGTAACGTGCTACAGGTGCTCTTTGCCTTTCCTGTTTCAACTGATAGATGTGTTATGTTCCCTGGACAGTAGAAGGCGCTCTCAGCTGACGGATGAAGGTATTTCTAAGCTCTGCTGCCATGTTTTTCTGCCTCTGCAGTTGATTTCCATACGACACATGTTGGCACTGAATCTGTGTGTTTCTTCAGTTCAGTGAGATGATGTGTTGAACTTTTATTTTCATCAATTAATGCCTTTTTTTTCTACAATGAACTGAGTCCTTTTGGATTTTTGTTTTTGTTTTAGATTGGATGTTATATTTGGAAAAGTTCTGAATAACTGTTATTCTTTTTAACTTTTATTTTCACATCAAAGTACTTTTTAAATATCCTGTTTTTATTTGAAAACTGTAACTTTTCTTTTATTGAGCATTTCTTTGTGAGTACTTTCTTTTTCTGTCGGACAACAAGCTGAATCACTTCCTGTTGCCACCCGTAGGTCTCCTACGCCCGGCCCAGTTCGGACATGATCAAAGACGCAAATCTGTACATCAGCGGTTTGCCGAGGACGCTGAGTCAGCAGGACCTTGAGGACATGTTTGCGCCTTTTGGTCGAATCATCAACTCCCGAGTTCTGGTGGATCAAGCTTCTGGTAATTCTGTTCAAGAATTAGCTCATTAGCCTTTTTCTCAATTGTGCAAATTCAGAAGTGGATGATTGATGAACTTTGTTACAATGTAAACTGGAGAAAGTCAGGCTGATGTCTTGGTATGAGATCAGCTTCAAAGCAGACTAAAATAAAGCTGGAAAAGGGTCTAAAAAGACGTATAAATGCTTCCCGCTATTAGCGCTGAGCTGTCAGCAGCTTAAAGGTTTCTGTAGGGCTTGTTTTGGGTTTGTTTCTGTGATTCTAACTACCGGTCTGTATAAGTTCTCCTTTCATCTCCTAAGTTATTGATCAATAGTTGTAGATCAGCTTTGTGATCAGAAATCGTCAGTTTGAAGAGTCTGAGCCAGGATTCAAAGCTCAAACAGCTCCTCTGATAGTGGACCGGCGCCTGTGCCGGCTCAGTCAGAGACTCACAGCCTGGTTATGGTCATATTACCCCCCCCCTCCTCCCAGGGGCTGTGAATGTCATTGACTGACTTGTTGTTGATTTTATTGGTGGTTCAGGTTTGTCCCGGGGCGTGGCCTTCATCCGGTTTGATAAGAGGGCCGAGGCCGAGGATGCTGTCAAACATCTGAATGGGCACACGCCTCCAGGGAGCTCTGAACCAATCACAGTTAAGTTTGCCGCCAACCCCAACCAGGGCAGGAACTCCCAGATGATGTCACAGATGTACCACAGCCAATCGCGGCGCTTCGGAGGTCCCGTCCATCACCAGGCGCAGCGGTTCAGGTGAGCTGAGCGAGGGGGGGGGGGCGGGGGGGGGGGGTCAGAGGTTAGAGGTCTGATCAGAGGTCTTCCTGCAGGTTCTCTCCCATGAGCGTGGACCACATGGGCGGAGGGGGCGGGACCTCGGGGAACTCCTCCTCTGGGTGGTGCATCTTCATCTATAACTTGGGGCAGGATGCTGACGAGGCCATGCTGTGGCAGATGTTCGGCCCGTTCGGGGCTGTTGTGAACGTGAAAGTGATCCGAGACTTCAACACCAACAAGTGCAAAGGCTTTGGCTTCGTCACCATGTCGAACTACGAGGAGGCCGCCATGGCCATCCATAGCCTGAACGGGTACCGGCTGGGGGACAAGGTCCTGCAGGTGTCCTTCAAAACCAGCAAAGGACACAAGTAGAGAGGCGGTGCCCAAGGGTCCCACCTTAAGTAGTTCCTCTGTCCTCGGTTGGATCTGCTGAATTTGTTTTTGTCCCAGCATGCGCTGTGTGTTTCTGTGTTTGGAGGGTTACGGGTGGAGCCTGCAGGAATTGACAGCCAGCCACTTGGGACCCTTCCATCCTAGCAAGTAGACTTAGCCCCGAGGATCCCAGTCTGTTTCTTTTCTTTTTAACATGGGAGAAGTTCTGAGTTGCTGTTGAACATTAAAGGTTTATCACTCACTAAAATAACGTGTCCAGTCCAGCTTCAGACAAAATGCACATCACCAGCAGGTGATCAGCTTTGATGGGTGGGTTTCAGTCTGTGTCCAGTGCTGGAAATGAGAGCAACAGAAACGTCCCGGTTCTCTTAAATAAACTGTGAAATGTGAAACCAGACTCTTGGCTTTTCTTCTGAGTGACGTGAAACTTAGAGGTAAACCGGTTCTGGTCTGGGGACAAATACAAAGACGTTTAACCGATATCCATGTTAAATGGATTCTAAATGGTTCCAGTTCAACCAGGGCCAGTTAAAGTTTCCTGTTAGAGGAAACCAGTCCATTTCCCCGACTCATTCCACTGATCTAATCTATTCAACACTGGGCTCAAACTCAGACTTCCCCGAAGATCTCAAATCCAGAGCTCTGTTTTCCAGATGAGATGGGCAGGGATCCTCTTGGGTCGGGCCTGCCTCACACCATTTGTTTCTGGGGATATGCTTTATTTCAGTGCATCTGAATCAGTGATGGTGTGCGAGTGCTGTCCTTGAAGACGTCTGTCTGTCTATGCGTATACTCCTATACATCATCATTCAATCAACCTCTAGATCTTTAAGCCGTACTACTTGGGTCAACTTGGATTTTTCTTGCGAATGATTTTCTGACCACCCGCTGACCTTACTGGAGGAATTGACCTCCAACATGGCCAGTCACCGATCACATTTGATGAGGGACAGGGTCGTCAGGGAAACCCAGTTCTTCTGAATATCTTCAATGCCTGTTTCAAACAGACTCCAAATCCAGACCAAGTGATCAAATGAAAACTGTAAAAGGGCACATTACAATTCTTGCGCACCACGTCCAGCTGCTGCAGGACGCAGGCGTCCCGGGTCAGCTGCAGCCGGACGTCTGAGGAGTTCCCGCTGCGCCGGTCCAGCAGCAGGGCCACGGCCGACCGCCCCCGCTGAGGGGAACAGCAGCACGTTACGGGGGGCGGGGGGGCCGGGGGGTCGGGGCCTCACAAGTAATGCATTTTGTTTTTTTGTTCCGCAGAACAACTCAAAATAAGTGTTTCCGTTCTTTTCTATTCGGTCGGTGAAAGTCATGGGTTAAAGTGGAGAACTGACTGAAATTTCCCAGAATGCATTTCGTGGCAACCTGTAAAGCTGGTAACAGCTGTTTGGTTAATTCTCGCTTTGGTGCTGTTATTACATCTCTTTTTTCTGCCATAAAGTACCTATTTAGACCCTTAATCTAAAGCTCTAGATATGACTCTCTGTCACGTCTGGGGGAATGTCTGGTGTGTCGTCATGTCTTGATCACCTATTGTGTACACCTGGGGTTCCCCTCCCTCATGTGTTTAAATAGTCCTCGTTTCCCATGTCCTGTGCCAGTGGGTTTTTGTCTTTCGTCTTTCTGTTTTCGTCACCCCTCGCCACGTAAGGTTTTGATTTTTGCACTTTGCCATAGCCATGATTTTTGTCACAGCCATGCCATAGTCTTGTTTTGTACCATAGCCACGTTTTTGTCATAGCCTTGTTTTGGCACAGTCTTGTTTACTTTGTTTTGATACTTTTGCCACAGCCATGTTAATCTTGCTTTGTTACTTTGTCCATAGTTTTGTCACTGCCTTGTTTTGAACTTTGTCTGCATCCACTCCTTTGAGTGCGTTTTTGTTACAATAAACCCCTTGGAACTAACCCTCTCCGCGACTGAGTCCTCCCTAAGATCCACCCCCCTGACACTCTCCCTCATCAGTGTCATCAATATAATTCCTACTATTTTCATCCTTAATATCCAACGAGGCCTGTTTGTGAATTTGTTCTGAGGTTTTGGGAGATGAGGAGCCGCTGGTGGGTGGGGCCAGCGCTCCGGGAGCTCCGTCATTGGCTCAAAAGTCTGAGCATCTGCCAATAAAAATAAGTGGCCTCTGTTAACTCCGAATGACGGAAATTTGCGGTAGCAACGGAGGTCTTTCATCCATGGACATTTATTCATTATATTACCTTTTTTATATCCATCCATCCATTATCCTCCGCTTATCCGAAGTCGGGTTGCGGGGGCAGCAGCCGGAGCAGGGAGACCCAGACTTCCCTCCCCCCCCCCACTTCTGCCAGCTCCTCCGGGGGGATCCCGAGGCGTTCCCAGGCCAGTCGAGACACATAGTCCCTCCAGCGGGTCCTGGGTCTTCCTCTGGGCCTCCTCCCCGGTCCTGGGTCTTCTTCTGGGCCTCCTCCCCGGTCCTGGGTCTTCCTCTGGGCCTTCTCCCGGTGGGACGAGCCCGGAACACCTCCCCAGGGAGGCGACCAGGAGGCATCCTGAACAGATGCCCGAGCCACCTCAACTGGCTCCTCTCCACGTGGAGGAGCAGCGGCTCTACTCCGAGCCCCTCCCGGATGGCCGAGCTTCTCACCCTATCTCTAAGGGAGAGCCCAGCCACCCTGCGGAGGAAACTCATTTCGGCCGCTTGTATCCGCGATCTCGTTCTTTCGGTCACTACCCAAAGCTCGTGGCCATAGACGAGGGTGGGAACGTAGATTGACCGATAAATTGAGAGCTTCTCCTTTAGGCTCAGCTCTTTCTTCATCACGACAGACCGGTACAGCACCCGCATTACTGCAGACGCCGCACCGATCCGCCTATCGATCTCACGCTCCCCACCCCCATTCGCCAACAAGACCCCGAGGTACTTGAACTCCTCCACTTGGGGAAGGACGTCCGCTCCGACCCGGAGAAGGCACTCTACCCTTTCAAAGTAATATCTGATTTTCCACCAAAACGATGGAAAGATGTCAGTTTTTCCTTAAGAAGCTGAAATAATCTGATAAATACATTTTAAAATCAGATAAATTGCTAAAACAAATAAAGATAAATCAGAATATCTCAAATTTTCCACAAAAATAATGACATCTTGTTAGTTTTTCCCAAAAAAGATTAAATAATCTCCATAAATTAATTTGGGAATCAGATAAATGAATAAAGGAACTCAAAATAACTCAAACTAAACTTTAAATTCCTGCTGTTTTCCTCCAGAACCAGCTCTGGTTTCCACTAAATGAGCTCTGTTCCAGCAGATAATACAGACAGAGGCAGAAACAGGAGTTCAGGAGCTGGAAACAGCTTCACTGAGAAGCAGAAACTCAAACATTTTGGATCATTTTAGACTTTTTGTTCACACAAACAGACCTGAGAGGACAATAAAAGGGATTAAAACACATTAAATTGTCTCTGATTTTATGGAAAATCCCTCTAAAAATATTAACTAATTGTATGCAAAACTACTGCATAAATTCATTTGGGAATCAAATTACTAAAAGAACTCCAAATAAATCTGACTAAACTTTGAATTTCTGCTTTTGTTTTAGAGCTTTTATATTTTGTTTTGTCACATTCTTTAGAGCTTCAATTTTTTGTCTTTTTTCTAGCTTTGGGTTAGGGTCAGATAAATTACTTAAATAACTCCAGATAAATCAGAGTAAACTTTGAATTAGCTTTTTTCCTTCAGAACCAGCTCTGGTTTCCACTAAATGAGCTCTGTTCCCGCAGATGTTACAGACAGAAGTGGAAACAGGAGTTCAGGAGCTGGAAATGTGGAGTAAACATGAAGCTTGAATAAAAACAACGACAATGCTTCATTTCAAACTGAATGGAAACAGTTTAATTAAGTTATGAAATCAATACATTTAAGAAATTTAAGCACGTTCACAGCTTCTCCTGTGCAGATTAAAAAAGACAAACAAAGCTCGACACCCCCATAAATGATGATCTCTTGTTTTAAATCAGAATTACAATCTTCCTCTGTGGTCGACGGGCCGCTCTAGGGAATCCCGACTGTCCCTGAACGCCACGAGCACGTGTTCCATGGGAAACAAAGAAAAAAAATGGTTTAGGAAGGCTAAGCTAAGTTTGTTCAGGCTGAGATCAGTTCTTTCTTTCTTTCTTTCTCTAGACCTCCGTCAAAGTTATTCTGCTTTAAAAGACAATCAGCTAACATTTGAACCCTTTAACAGACAAAAACCGCTGCAAAAATACCACAAAAATGACACTTTTCCTTCAGATGAGTCTTATAAAACTTCTTCAGCCTTAAATAAACATTTCAAATGTGAATATTTTCGGGATTTTCTCTTTATTCTTACAAATTGATTATTCTTACTGATTTATTGGCATTATCATTATCACTTATTTTAGGTCTATATATATACAATATAGTTACATATGTGTATGCTTATATTTTGTGTGGAATTTTGTATACATACACACACACATATATATATCCTGTCTGGAGCCCGTTAATGACCTCCCTCCCGCACCTGTCCCTGATTTGAATCACCTGTTAAGCTAGCAGTCAGTAAAAGCTGCATTTGGAAGTCCAAGACCGACTGTTTGCTCCCCTCCGTGCTGAGACCAGCCCAAAGGGGACCCACTCACACCAGCGGACGGAACCAGAACCGAACCGACCCTGGACACAGACGGAACCAGAACCGAACCGACCCTGGACACGGACGGGACGCCAACAACGCCACTTGCCTGGAACCACGGAGGAGCCCGGACCGACGGAGACCCGCCTCCACACCGCGGAGGGGCCGGAGCCGCCACGGACTCCCCACAGCAGCCACCAACCGGAACCCCGCTGGGAGCTGGAGAACCGGACCGGACCCAGAACCCCGCTGGGAGCTGGAGAACCGGACCGGACCCAGAACCCCGCTGGGAGCTGGAGAACCGGAGCTGACACGGAACACGGACTATTCTCTACATGCTGAGGTCCAGGACACCCCACCCAGGACCCATAAAAGCACTCAAAGCCCACACAGGGAAACCTGCAGGGTAAGTCAGGAAAGTTCTAGAAACATGGCGGCCAGAGGGAGATTTAGAAAAAATGTATGAAAAATACTTTGCACAATTTATCAGCTTCTTAGGAATAGTTGGCAACATAATTTAGACATTTTTTTAACCTTACTATTACGTGTATTTGGATTTTAATGTAATTATTTTGAGGCCTAATTAACACAATTTCACGAAATGTGTGTTGTCATGGCAACGTCAAGGGCCAGAGCCAGGACCTGGTCCAGGGCCAGGACCTGAGACCGGACCTGCACCTGAGACCGGACCTGCACCTGAGACCGGACCTGCACCTGAGACCGGACCTGCACCTGAGACCGGACCTGCACCTGAGACCGGACCTGCACCTGAGCCAGGACCTGAGCCAGGACCAGAGACCGGACCAGGGCCAGGACCTGAGACCCGGACCAGGGCCAGGACCTGAGACCCGGACCAGGGCCAGGACCTGAGACCCGGACCAGGGCCAGGACCTGAGACCCGGACCAGGGCCAGGACCTGAGACCCGGACCAGGGCCAGGACC